CATTCGAACGGGAAACTGCAAGCTGTTTCTTCGCTTTCCAGGCAATGAGAGAACCACCAAAAAAAACGCAGTAAGCAGAAAGTGAACGGCGATCTGAAGGATCACTAGCCCACGTAGCATCCGAATAGGCCTGAAGCTGTAAAGAACTGGAGCGAGGAAAGAATAGACGGTGAGAGATCGTGCCTCGAAGATAGCGGAGAACACGAAGGAGATGACTATAGTGAACCGAGGTGGGAGCAGAGACAAACTGACTCAGAATATGAACCGGATAAGAGATGTCCGGACGAGTGACAGCTAGATAGACAAGACTGCCAACAAGATGACGATAACGCGTCGGGTCAGGGAAAGGATCACCATCAGTAGCACGGAGGTGAACATTGAGCTCCATAGGAGTCTCAACAACGCGCTCGTCAGTAAGAGCAGCACGAGCAAGAAGATCCTGGATATACTTTTCCTGGGATATAAAAAAGCCATCAGAGGTAGAAGAGACTTCAATCCCAAGAAAGTAGCGAAGAGGTCCAAGATCAGACATAAGAAACTGCTCACTAAGACGGGCCTTTACAAAGGCAATATACTCGGGATCATCCCCCGTGATGATCATGTCATCAACATAAAGAAGAAGAAGAGTCCGACCACGAGGAGAAAGGTGAATAAACAATGCGGGATCATGAGCACTTGCTAAAAAACCAGCAGCAGTGATCACAGAGGCAAAGCGCTCAAACCAGGCGCGGGGGGCTTGCTTAAGGCCATAGAGAGAGCGACGAAGACGACATACCATGCCATCAGGAACAGAATACCCAGGTGGTGGCTGCATGTACACCTCCTCACGCAGCTCACCATTAAGAAAGGCATTCTTAACATCAAGCTGAGATATAGACCAGTGGCGTGCAGAGGCAACGGCAAGAAGTGTACGAACAGTGGTCATATGGGCCACAGGAGCAAAAGTCTCGTCATAATCACGACCGTGCTCCTGCTGAAAACCACGAGCCATAAGACGAGCTTTGTGACGCTCAAGAGAACCATCAGAGCGAGTCTTAACCTTGTAGACCCACTTACAAGTGATCGGAAGGACTCCGGGAGGAAGAGAAACAAGATCCCAGGTACCAGTGCGTTCAAGAGCAGCAATCTCCTCTGCCATCGCAAACTGCCATTCAGGATGAACAACAACCTGACGGTAAGAAGTCGGCTCAAGAACAGCAGCACCAGCGGTGGGAAATCCAAAGCGATCAACAGGCGGACGAGGACGAGAACGCAAGCCATAAGTAGGTTGAGAGGAAGATGACGACTCATCCACAGAGGCATCGACTGGTCGTGGACGACGAGTGTAATGCTGAGGAAAAGATGGAATAATAGAAGGAGGAATCGTCAAGGTAGAATCGGGGGGTGGCGACGAAGAAGTCACCGGAGATGAAGGTGTAGAATCCGGTGACATGCTGGGAGAGGAGATCGGGGAGGAAGTCACCGGAGATGAAGGTGGAGAACCCGGTGACATGCTAGGCGAGGAGACCGGGGAGGATGGTGGCTGCAAATCAACTAGAGGTGGAGAAGGAGAGGAAGTGGAACGGAGAGGTACATGCTCGACGGGGGTGATAGGTGAGTCAGAAAAAGTGAGGAAAGAGATATCCTGCATTGAAAAAGTCGAGGAAGATGGGCGTGGGTAGAAGGGACGAGACTCATCAAAAGTCACGTCTCGAGAGATACGCATCCGACGACCGATAGGATCCCAACAACGATAGCCCTTATGCTCATCACTGTAGCCTAAGAAGACACACTCAACAGACTGAGCGGTCAGTTTGGTGCGTTCGCGAGGGGCAAGAAGAACATAGCAAACAGAACCAAACGAGCGAAGCATCGAATAATCGGGAGAACGATCAAAAAGTCGCTCGAAAGGAACACCACCTTGTAGATCAGCGGAAGGCTGTATATTGATAAGATAGGTGGATGTGGAGACGGCCTCAGCCCAAAAATGAGGCGGGAGAGAGGCAGCAATCATCAATGCACGAGCCGTCTCAAGAAGATGTCGATGCTTTCGCTCAGCCACACCATTCTGAGCATGAGCACCAGGACAAGAGAATTGAGAGAGAGTCCCTTGCTCAGCAAGAACACCACGCAACATCTTAGAGATATACTCGCCAGCTGAGTCAGCACGAAAAACACGAATGGGTGAAGAGAACTGAGTATGAACCATGGCAGCAAAACGCTTATAAATAGACAACACCTCAGAACGAGAAGTCATGAAATAAAGCCATGTGTAACGAGAGAAATCATCTATGAAAATAATATAGTATTTATGACCACCTTTCGAAGCGAAAGGGGCCGGACCCCATACATCAGAATGGACTAAATCGAAAGGACGCTTGGACACTGACTCACTATGTGAATATGGTAACTGAATCTGCTTGCCAAGACGACAACCCTGACACTCTAAAGAGACATCTCCTGAGACAGACCCCAGAAGACCTCGACGAACTAAAGAAGACAATCGAGAACCACACAGATGACCAAGTCGATGATGCCACTGCTGGAAGGAACCAGTAACGGAGGCGACAGAAACGGAAGAACTGGCGATGGTGGTGGCAGCGGAAGGAACATGAAGCCAGTCCAACTCCCAAAGACCCTGAGAATCACGGCGGCGAGGGCCAGCCCCAACCAGAGTGTGCGTGCGACGGTCCTGGACAGAACAAGAGTCAACGTCAAGGATGACGCGACAACCAGAATCAGTAAGTTGACCAGCAGAAAACAGATTCATGGTAAGTCGAGGAACATGAGCAACATCAGGAACAGAATAAGGAGTGGTAAGATTGCCTCTAGTAGCAACAGAAAGTGAAGTACCATCAGCAGTGAAGACATGAACAGGAGAATCCAGTGATCGAAGAGAGGACAAAGTGGAAGAATGAGAAGACATGAAAAGAAGCTCCAGAGTCCAGAACCCTTGGGGATGTACCTGACTGTGTAGAGGGTGATTGCTCAGTGCGGGAAGCATCAGTCACAGAACCAGCAGTACCCGTCGAGGAAGAACCTGAAGCCGCGAGCAGACGCTTAAGTCTCAGAATATCCTGCTCAGTCAAAGCAATGGCTGAAGCTGCCGAGGTAGATGACGAAGTCCCTGAGGATGATGATCGCGCCTTGCGCAGGTGTTTCTTCTTCGTGTAGCACTGAGACTCAAGATGACCATCATTGTTGCAATAGTCGCAATGTGGATGGGGGCGACCTGAGCCTCCAGAAGGAGTGGGCAAGAGCGGCGGAGCACTCGAGCGAGAAGGGGTCGGTGCAGCAGGTGGCGTAGGAGCACGAGTAACGAGCACAGAGGGACCCTCCAGCAAACCAGCACCACGTAAGCGAGTCTCCTCAGCACGAATCTCAGAAAGCGCCTCCATGAGAGAAATACGGCCACGAGCAAACAACTGAGCACGCCGGGGCTCAAACTCCTTACGGAGCCGAGACAGGAACTCATAGACGCGATGAAACTCCAAATTGGCCTGGACAGCCTGGCAACAGGGGCAGGTACGACAACCAGCACTGCGGAGAGAATCAAGCTGGCGCCAGATAGCAGAACTCTGTGCATAGAAGTCATCAACAGTAGAGTCACCCTGCTGAAGAGCATGCTCCTGACAGACCACAGAAAGGTATAAGGCATCACCAGAGGGCTGATAGCGCTGACGAAGACGGGTCCACATCTCAACGACAGTAGGAAGACCCAGAAACTCAGAAGCAAACTGAGGCAACACTAGCAGTGAGAACAGCTGCAGCACGAGCATCATCATCAAGCCACTGGGTGTAAATAGACAGAGCACCATGATACGTCTGAAGAGCCTCCTCATAAGCCAAAACCCTCTCATCATAAGCACGATCAGCAGCCTCATCAGCAAGCTTAGTCGCATCCTTGGCGGTCTGATTAGCATCCGGAGGAAGAACCGGTGGAGTCGGCGGAATAGGAGCCATCGGAGGAACCGGACGTGGCGGACAGCAGACCTTGCCAGAAAGAACACCCCAGAGACGGATGCCACGCATGTGAATGCGCATGAAGCCAGTGAACTCGGTGTAGTTAGTACCATCGAAGATCACCGGACAGCGAGGGACAGCAACATAACCCGATGCAGCAGACATTTTTTTTTGAGATCCCAAATCAGCAGAATCTGGAACAGCAGACCACCAGCAGCGGAATCAGGGCACGAGCAGGGAGTAGCGTCTACGGGCGACTGGATCGCGGGGTGCGCGCGAGCAACTGGGTCGGGGCGGGCGCTGACGACCGGATCGGGCGGGCGCTGGCGACCAGATCGGGGCGGGCACGGTCAACTGGATCGGGGTGGGCGACTGGGATCGAGCGGCGGATGGGCTTGCGTAAGCCGAGATCGAGCAGCCTCGCGTAGGAACAAGAGCAGCCGAGATCAAGCGGTCTCGCGCAAGCCGAGATTGATCGAGCGAGACTGCCTTCAGCAGGGAACAGAGCAGCTACGGGTAGGAGGAACAGCGCCGGCGGCTGTGCAGAATATTGGATCGGGAAGAGCACGAGTTGCGCGTGCGAAAAAGAACCTATGCTCTAATACCATGTTAGGAAAGCAACTTGTATACATGTACATGTGTGGAACATATGCAGGAAACCTCTTATACAACGGGATAAATACAAAGGGGTACATGACTTATATTATAACTCTAATAGTAACGACCAAGGTCCTCGTCGAACTCCCACTTGAGTTCGGTAGCATCACCTGCATTGGTATCATTGGCACCTGCAACTGTTTTGGAAGTATCCGTGAGTCTCTAAACCCTATCTTTTCAATACAAAGAAATGCAAAAATCTTTTTGCGTTTTCTCAAGAAAAAAATTCCTATATGCAGTTCAGATATAAATTTTGCTGTATGTTTGGACAATACTCTTATGATTTCGAGAAATCTGGTCTGGTATAATCATTGTTGACATGCCCATGGTTCTGATATTTGGGTAGTTATAGATTTACGAACATTTGTCAGACCTAATAATTGTTTCTGTTTGCTCTGCAGGACTATGGCAAGCTTCAAAATAGATTTTTATCACGCAAACCAGCAAATGTTATATTGTCAAGTATGGAGGTTGTTGCTCAATCCATGGGGTTGAAGACACATATTCGCAATTATAAGGTAAGGTTTGCTGTCCAGTCTGTTCTGTCATGCATATTAGCAACCTTCTGACTTGAGATCTTAACAGACAACTGGGTTTTCTATTCATTTTATAATGGTTAGCATATACTTTCCCTTGTATCAAATATAAGGCGTATCTTGTGGTGCCCACTTGAAACTTTGACCATAAATTCTGCCTACTTACTGGTTACAAAATCTTAATGACAACATGTGCTTTCGAATACAAATCCAATGGTATCAATTTATATAAACTAGCCCTCACATTTTCTAATACTTACTCCCTCTGTATCAAAATATAAGACGTTTTTTGACAAAAACGCTTATATTTTGATACTGAGGGAGTATTAGTGAAAGCATTAATTTGGACAGTCAAAACATGCCCTATAGTGTGAAATGGGGAGCAACTTATTTTTCTCAATATGAGTAAACAGACTTGCATTGTTCAAAATACCGGCCGATAAATCAGTTAACTAGCCGATTAATCCCCGCTCGGTGGGTCACCGATTAACCGGTTTATCGGCCGATTAACTGGCCGGCTCGTCTATTAATCCCTTGCTCGCCAGCCAACCAAGCAGTTACCAGTTAATGATTTCCTGAACATTGCAGACTTGGATCTTTTTTATTTCATTACGATTATTTATATTTAATCTGATAATATTATGCACTCTATTTGTTCCCAAATAACATACTGAAGGTCTTAATTTTTTTTCTTTCTGGATTTGCATTTAACATGTACTCCTGTATTGCTAATGAGTTTCGATTACTGTTGTGACATGTTTTTATCGCTTATAAGTAGTTTCACTATTAATATGTACAGATGAGGGTGGAAGGTCCAAATGCGAACAAGACTAGCCATCTCACAATTATGCTTCAAGTGAGTCTTGCCCTATGCAGTCATTTATATCTCTTGTTCTAGCTGTATAGTTTTCTCATCCTTTTACTTCATCTGATTTTGCTCTGGTTTTAGATTTTTGAAGTTGCCCCATCAATCTTTATGGTGGAACTAGAGAGATCTGCTGGAGAAACTTCAGAGTATAATAAGGTCAAGACATATTATTCTTTTTTGCATATTCCTGCAACTGGCACACCTTATATTATTACTTTCTGTATGAGGCAACTTTCTAGTCTAGAATAAAAGATGAAGATCCTAATGAGCAGTTGTTAAGAAGGACGTTGACTAAAATATACTTCCTCCGTTCCAAATTACTCGTCGCAGAAATTGATGTATCTAGAACTAAAATACATCTAGATACATCCATACCTGCGACAAGTAATTCGGAACGGAGGGAGTACATAGTGATGTTTGTAGTAGCCAGATGTAGCTGCTTATTTGTCATATTATCTTTCGGAAAATTGTAAATCTGCTAAACGCAATTTGCTGTTGGTTTTGCTGGGCACGCACAACTAACTATGGAATTGTTTTTATTGTTGCAGTTCGTAAACAACTACTGCTCCAAATTAGATGATATCATCTGGAAAGTTTCTGCTGAGAAGGGAAAATCTAGGACATCCCGGCTATCGAAGCGCTAACTTATGCACCTATTACAATTTAACTGTAACCATGTGGGTTTGCTGCAGGTATTGCGTATTGCTGTTTCGTTTGGGTTACGTACATCACGGGCTTGGCTAATGAGTGTACTAGTGCAGTTTATCATAATTGATCTATGATCTTTTAGTTATATACTACCCTGACCTAAAACGTCTTATATTTGTTTACAGAGGGAGGGGGAGATTGTGTTTAGTGCCATGATTGTATACTACGACTAGTCGAGTCTGCTTGTACAAAGAGGTCCATCTAGTAGTTCGGACATGTCAGTTTTCATGTACAGAAATGTGTCAAACAAACTGTACTTCACTTGTCTCCGGGTTTGTTCGGGGAGTTTTTTTTTTTTCAAAAACTCAGGTTTTATTCATTTGTGATAAGTAGTACATCGTTGTGAGGATCGTTGCAATTTCATTTAAAGGCTTCTCAAACTAATCGGAAGTCAAAGAAAATTTAGCTAGTCTAGCAAACTCATGAGCTACTTTGTTTGCTTTCCTATTACATTGCTCAAATTTAGCAATAACGAAATCACAGCATAATGATAACAATCATCGAAGATTGCTGCTGCCGTGCCCGCCGACTGTCCTCCATCATTCATAGTTTTAATCACCTTCATATTATCCAAATTTATAACAAGGCGATTGCATCCCGCCCTTTGCGTTAGTGTTAGACCGAATTTGAGAGCTAAAGCTTCCTCCATCACACATCCGCGCAAAAATTTATTCTCTGATTCCCTCCAGCAATAAACCTACCTTTGTCGTCTCGAAGGATCGTTTCCATGGAACACCTAAGAAGATCGTGATCAAAAGAAGCATCAACATTAAACTTAATGAAACCTCTAGGAGGACAAGATCAGACCACCTTCTTCATCGACGCCTTGGGGGATGATGCATTAACAGTTTTTTTGGTAAGAGCAAGAATCCCCATTAAGATCTGAGTTACATTTTGAGTTTTCTCATGGTGTACCAGTTTCCGTCTTTTCCATCATAGATACCATGCTGAAATAGCAATCATCTCATGTACATTATGGTCACCCAATATCCGCAAATCTTGATCTGGTAGGAGTAGTAAATACTCCAACACCACCTCTCCCGCACGGTCGACTTCACAAGCTTTATCAATAATATCATGCACCCCAAGCCTTTTCCATGCCTCCTTTGCTTTACTACAACGGAAGAGCATATGTTTTGTATCTTCTAAACCATCCGAACAAGTGGGGTAGATGGGTGAAACTTTCATATGTCTGTTAGCTAGCGTAACCCAACATGGGACTGTTTCATGTAGCGTCTAAACCCTCCGAACAAGTGGGGCAGATGAGTGAAACTTTCATATGTCTGTTAGCTAGCGTAACCCGACATGGGATTGTATCATGTAGTGTACGCCATAAGAATTTTTTTACTTTTGCCAGACGGACTAACTTTCATACCTTACTCCAAATGGGGTTAACTGTGGTTCGCCCCATCCCATTAGAGTGTTTTACTTTGCTTCCATACTGGTGGTCCCACTCCATAGAATAGGCTGATTGAATTGAGAAAATACCATTTTTTCAATAGTTCCAGGCAATGAAATCTTGCATAATTGGTGAGACTTGTATACTGCCAACATTTGTTGCTTTCGTTCCATTTCTACTCTTCAATTTGTTAGCTTGCATGACTCATTATCAACTGATTAAACACCATCACCTCATTGGTGTTGTCTGTTCTTATCTTTTCTGTTTTCTGATGTCTATTCCACAATGTGAGCTGGCAATTTATGCGAGCATCATATTTGGCTTAAGACAAGACAAATGAGCCTTGTAAAACAACAATCAGCACAAAGTGAAATTGCCCAGCCATCGTTTCTGGCCACAGAGCAAAGTTTCTCTAAATACTGCAATGATTTGGATTGCCATGACATAACTTACCTGCCTTTTTTTCCGAAACGGAGGCAAAAGATTTGCCTCATCTCATTGATAAAGAAGGGGTTAAAACAGAGTTATGAGGTCCATTACTCCTCAACAAATGGCCGAAACAAAAATGACTACTCTCGTGGCATGATCAAACTCAATTTCTTTGCCCCAGCAATTACCCAATTCCTCGCCCCACACTATCGAGGCTACAACCCTAGTGGGCAAGGTGGACTTGCCCTCGGAAACACTCGCGTTCCTTTCTTTCCAAATCTCCCAGGCGACCAACAACAACAGGGAGGCTGTCGCCTTGTGCCCGTGGCCCGTTTGCAGAACCGTCCTCTCACACCACTCATCGACGGATAGCAAACCAGGCCAAGCATCGATTTCCATCTCGTGCATACCGAGCCGAAGCTTAATCTCGCTCCACTCTCACGGAGAACCTACACTTGAATAGTAGTTGGGCCGCAGTCTTGAGTTCTGTAGGATCG